AATGACCTTGACCCACTTTCAAAGTCACTGGGGTCAGATGTCTTAAAATCTTCAAACAACTTCTTCTCAATAACCAAAAGGCCCAGGGTACTTAATTGGGCCTGTAGCATGCTGGGATGAAGGGCTACCAAGTTTGTTCAAATGAATAACCTTGACCCACTTTCAAGGTCACAAGGGTCAGATGTCTTAAAATCTTCAAACAACACTTCTTCTCAATAACCAAAAGGCCCAGGGTACTGATATTGGGCCTGTTGCATGCTGGGATAAAGGGCTACTAAATTTGTTCAAATGAATGACCTTGAACAACTTTCAAGGTCACTGGGGTCTGATGTCTTAAAATTTTCAAACAACCTCTTCTCAATAACCAAAAGGCCCAGGGTACTGATATTGGACCTGTAGCATACTGGGAAGAAGGACTACCAAGTTTGTTCAAATGAATGATCTTGACCAACTTTCAAGGTCACAGGGGTCAAATGTCTTAAAATCTTCAATCAACTTCTCTTTCAAATATTACATTACTAAAAATGTATTTATATATATGTAAAAATGACTAGTGTTTGTTGTTATCTAACCTGGCATGAATGGCCAATTGAGTTTAAGCCGTGGTGTGGCCTCTGTCTGTCTTCCATTGTAGGACTGCATATATCCTCAGATGTTCCTTTAAAACACTACTTGTTCAGAATGTCTGAAGAAAATTAGACCAAATATGGTCTGAGAATGGTTTGGCCTGGGGGGGTGTTAAAGTTGTTTAAATGGAGAGTGTGCCTCATTGGGTGGAGCCCACCAAAGAAAAAAGGGCAAATGTTGAATGTCCTACTTTTTCAGTACACATGAAGGAATTTAAACCTCATTTGGTGGGCATAAGCTTAGGGGGTCATAGCCCAATACAGAAAAAATAAGGGTAAACTTGTGAACCCTACTCTGTCACTATTTTTGGTACATAAGTTAAACCAAATTTGGTCTGGAGCATCCTTTTGCCCAGGAGACTCAATATTGTATAAATGGAAGGTGTAGACTTCCTGGAAACAAAGGGAAGGCGAGTATGACCTAACATTGCATAAATGGAAGGTGTAGACTTCCTGGAAACAAAGGGATGGGGAGTATGACCAACATTGTATAAATGGAAGGTGTAGACCTTCTGGAAACAGGGGGATGGGGAGTATGACCTGACATTGTATAAATGGAAGGTGTAGACCTCCTGGAAACAGAGGGAAAGGGAGTATGACCTAACATTGAATAAATGGAAGGTGTAGACCTCCTGGAAACAGAGGGATGGGGAATATGACCTTACATTGTATAAATGGAAGGTGTAGACTTCCTGGAAACAGAGGGATGGGGAGTATGACAAAATGTTGTATAAATGAAAAGTGTAGACCTCCTGGAAACAGAGGGATGGTGAGTATGACCTTACATTGTATCAAAAGAAGGTGTAGACCTCCTGGAAACAGAGGGATTGGGAGTATGACTAATATTGTATAAATGGAAGGTGTAGACTTCCTGGAAACAGAGGGATGGGGAATATGACCAAATATTGTATAAATGGAAGGTGTAGACCACCTGGAAACAGAGGGAAGGGGATTTTAACCAAATATTGTATAAATGGAAGTTGAAGACTTCCTGGAAACAGAGGGAAGGGGATTATGACCAAATATTATATAAATGGAAGGTGTAGATTTCCTGGAAACAGAGGGAAGGGGATTATAACCAAATATTGTATAAATGGAAGTTGTAGACTTCCTGGAAACAGAGGGAAGGGGATTATGACCAAATATTGTATAAATGGAAGGTGTAGACCTCCTGGAAACAGAGGGGTGGGAAGTATGACCTTACATTGTATAAATGGAAGGTGTAAACCTCATGGAAACAGAGGGAAAGGGAGTATGACCAAATATTATATAAATGGAAGGTGTAGATTTCCTGGAAACAGAGGGAAGGGGAGTATGACCTAACATTGTATAAATGGAAGGTGTAGACCTCCTGGAAACAGAGGGAAAGAGAGTATGACCAAATGTTGTATAAATGAAAGGTGTAGACATCCTGGAAACAGAGAGATGGGGCGTATGACCTAACATTGTAAAAATGGAAGGTGTAGACCTCCTGGAAACAGAGGGATGGGGAGTATAACCAAATATTGTATAAATGAAAGGTGTAGACATCCTGGAAACAGAGGGATGGGGAGTATGACCTAACATTGTATAAATGGAAGGTGTAGACTTCCTGGAAACAGAGGGAAGGGGATTATGACCAAATATTGTATAAATGGAAGGTGTAGACCTCCTGGAAACAGAGGGAAAGGGAGTATAACCAAATGTTGTATAAATGAAAGGTGTAGACCTCCTGGAAACAGAGGGAAGGGGATTATAACCAAATATTGTATAAATGGAAGGTGTAGACTTCCTGGAAACAGAAGGAAAGGGAGTATGACCTTACATTGTATAAATGGAAGGTGTAAACCTCCTGGAAACAGAGGGAAAGGGAGTATGACCAAATGTTGTATAAATGAAAGGTGTAGACATCCTGGAAACAGAGGGATGGGGAGTATGACCAAATATTGTATAAATGAAAGGTGTAAACCTCCTGGAAACAGAGGGAAAGGGAGTATAACCAAATGTTGTATAAATGAAAGGTGTAGACTTCCTGGAAACAGAGGGATGGGGAGTATGACCTTACATTGTATACCCCCCAGGCGTAAACCTCATGGAAACAGAGGAAAAGGGAGTATGACAAAATGTTGTATAAATGAAAGGTGTAGACTTCCTGGAAAGAGAGGGAAGGGGATTATGAACAAATATTGTATAAATGGAAGGAGTAAACCTCATGGAAACAGAGGAAAAGGGAGTATGACCAAATGTCGTATAAATGAAAGGTGTAGACCTCCTGGAACAGAGGGAAAGGGAGTATAACCAAATGTTGTATAAACGACAGGTGTAGACTTCCTGGAAACAGAGGGATTGGGAGTATGACCTTACATTGTATAAATGGAAGGTGTAAACCTCATGGAAACAGAGGGGTCGGGAGTATGACCTTACATTGTATAAATGGAAGGTGTAGACCTCCTGGAAACAGAGGGGTGGGGAGTATGACCTTACATTGTATAAATGGAAGGTGTAAACCTCATGGAAACAGAGGAAAAGGGAGTATGACCAAATGTTGTATAAATGAAAGGTGTAGACCTCCTGTAAACAGAGGGATGGGGAGTATGACCTTACATTGTATACCCCCCAGGCGTAAACCTCATGGAAACTGAGGAAAAGGGAGTATGACCAAATGTCGTATAAATGAAAGGTGTAGACATCCTGGAAACAGAGGGAAAGGGATTATGACCAAATATTGTATAAATGGAAGGTGTAGACTTCCTGGAAACAGAGGGAAGGGGATTTTAACCAAATATTATATAAATGGATGGTGTAGACTTCCTGGAAGCAGAGGGAAGGGGATTATGACCAAATATTATATAAATGGAAGGTGTAGATTTCCTGGAAACAGAGGGAAGGGGAATTTAACCAAATATTATATAAATGGGTGGTGTAGACTTCCTGGAAGCAGAGGGAAGGGGATTATGACCAACTATTGTATAAATGGAAGGTGTAGACCTCCTGGAAACAAAGGGAAAGGGAGTATGACCTAACATTGTATAAATGGAAGGTGTAGACCTCCTGGAAACAGAGGGATGGGGAATATGACCTAACATTGTATAAATGGAAGGTGTGGACTTCCTGGAAACAGAGGGAAAGGGAGTATGACCTAACATTGTATAAATGGAAGGTGTAGACTTCCTGGAAACAGAGGGATGGGGAGTATGACCAAATATTGTAAAAATGGAAGGTGTAGACTTCCTGGAAACAGAGGGATGGGGAGTATGACCTAACATTGTATAAATGGAAGGTGTAGAATTCCTGGAAACAGAGGGATGGGGAATATGACCTAACATTGTATAAATGGAAGGTGTGGACTTCCTGGAAACAGAGGGAAAGGGAGTATGACCTAACATTGTATAAATGGAAGGTGCAGACTTCCTGGAAACAGAGGGATGTGGAATATGACCTTACATTGTATAAATGGAAGGTGTAGACTTCCTGGAAACAGAGGGATGGGGAGTATGACCTAACATTGTATAAATGGAAGGTGTTGACTTCCTGGAAACAGAGGAAAGGGGATTATGACCAAATATTGTATAAACAAAAGGTGTAGACCTCNAAGACTAATCCTGCAGTACATGAAAAGGTATTTTTACTTGATTCAGTTTGGACTTCTTTGGGAATTCTTTAAGGATGAATGAATTCTTAATAGAGATCCATGTTTAAATGTCTGCTCCAAAGGGATTACCAAGTTTTGTTGAAAGGATCCCTGGACAAAGGTATAAATACTGATGCTACACTGATACTTGAGGGTCCTGGTCCAGTAGGGCTATATATAAACTCTGTTACAAATGTTTTACCTGTTCTCACTCAGCTTACATCCATTGTAGGAATAGAAAAAAGATCAGGCGAGTTTGTGAGGCCCCTGAGCCTCATGTTTTTGGGGTTTTCTCTATGCCTTGTACATTAATGACAAGCATGCTGTATGCTGTCGCTGTGATTTCAATCATTACATATTTTTTAAGGGGGAAGTTTCTCTGGTTTTGTCAGTGTTACAGCTAATCATTGCAATGTAGAAGTTAAATCAATACTGTGTAAGTGCTAATTAACTTAGAATCAAATAAGATATGAAGCTTTAAATGTGAGGGGCATGGTTAACTTTGGAAATAAAGCATGAAGTTAAAAGAATTGAAATGTCACTGTTAAAATTAAGATTTGAAGTTGAACATTAAAAGTAAGATAAATTGTATTTATGAAAAGATATTAATTTAATATTGAAGATAAGATATGTTGTAAAGATTAATAGTAAGATACAATTTAAACATTAAAAATATGATATTGTATTGAACACTAAGAGGAAGATACATACATCACATGTATAAAATTAACTTTAAGATTAAGATCTGAAGTCAAAATATGAAGCTGATACTACTGATGGGCAGTTTTTGTGTCGCCTGCAAAATGCTGGTGACACATAGGTATATTGCTATGTCTATGGCATATCTGTTTACGTGATAACTCAAGCCAAAACACTTTTCTTACTAAAAGTGCTGAGCAGGCGACACATCCACTTCCGTGGAATTCTTGTGTTAATATGAACTACATATCTCGGAAGTTTTTCTTTGAAACTTAAGTAAAAAGTTTCTGCCATGTGATATACAAGAAATCTTCTCCAATACAACATAAGCAATGACAATATTGTATGTATTAGTTAACCTCTGTTTTACAATTTGTCCTATAGAATTAATTCAAATATATTGAACACAATGAGAATAATATTATTGAGACGCTCTGGTGTTAGGATTTATACTTTTGTTTAACTTTGAGGTAAATTTAGATTTTTCTAACTGAGAATAGTTCGGTATGAACCTTACCACATGTATATTGTTCTATGATAATTGATAACCTATAATTGGATCCGACTTTGAATTATTACGAATACTTAAACTTGTCGCTAATGAAGTCCCCCAACTGATGTTGGTTTTTCAGAGTAAATGACCTAGAATCACTGCTGATGACGGTCCACGAGAAGCAAAAGACAGAGACAACTCTTAACTTCCAGGTAAAATTAAGTGTCAATAAAAATCAAAAGTAAAATACCAAGCAAGTTAGTTAATTGGTTAGCTTGTGAACATGTTTTATCAATTAGTGAAATTAATACAATATCATCTCATATATCTGCCTGTATTAAATATAAATTTTATTGATTTTATTATGCATTTTCATGTTTTCTTTTAATCATTTTGTTCAGTGACAAGATAACAGGGAAGAGAGTATCTAAACATTTTTTCTGTTAACTAGACAACAGTGCTTGCAGAGCTAATTTCGCTCATGCAAAAGTGCAATTTTTTGGGAGAATTATTCATGAGTGTGCCTTTTTCAAAAATCCTAGCCAGAACACAGAGAGAGAGCACTGAAAAAATTAATAATACTTTGGCATTAGATGAACACACTTTCCAATATCTCATTAGCAGTTGTAGTTTTGATATGCAAAGCATCTGACAGGATGAAGATGTTTTACAAGAAACTATCTTTATACAAATAAATGTCTATCACAAAGTTCCTACAGGGAATATAACAAAATAGATAGCAGCAGTCCCTCTACGTCCAGGCTTTCGGGCTAAGCCCTTCATCAGGAATTGAACGGTCCTGACCCTTATGTCACAGCAATATTTGAATACAGGAAGCTCACACGTTTGGTTAGCTCATTGAGAATGGTGTGTGCACTTCCTGTGTTCAGATATTGCTGTGACATAAGGGTGAGGACTCATCAATCCCTGATGAAGGGCTAAGCCCGAAAGCTTGGACATAGATCAAGAGCGACTGTTACTATTTATCATCACCATACACATGCATACTATATTTGTATAGCTGGAGAACCTGTTCTGCCTTGGGTCACCATTGGCTGTGTTCCTGGCTTTAAGAGGGATTCGCCCAAAAGGGAAGGGTACATTGGACCACATCCTTCCCAGCTCAGCCTGTAAACGCCTCTACAATATTTACCATCCATACGACCCTGTGGTGAGTTTTAAGTGTTAACATGTAAACTCTGCTAAACATTTACCCTGTGGTGAGTTCTTAGACTGTTAACACGTAAACTCTGCTAAACATTTACCCTGTGGTGAGTTTTAACTGTAAACATGTAAATTCTGCTAAACATTTACCCTGTGGTGAGTTCTTAGACTGTTAACACGTTAACTCTGTTAAACATTTACCCTGTACTTAGACCGTTAACATGAAAACTCTGCTAAACATTTACCCTGTACTTAGACCGTTAACATGTAAACTCTGCTAAACATTTACCCTGTGGTGAGTTCTAACTGTTAACATGTAAACTCTACTAAACATTTACCCTGTGGTGAGTTCTAACTGTTAACATATAAACTCTACTAAACATTTACCCTGTGGTGAGTTCTTAGACTGTTAACACGTAAACTCTGCTAAACATTTACCTTGTGGTGAGTTCTAACTGTTAACATGTAAACTCTGCTTAACATTTACCCTGTGGTGAGTTCTAACTGTTAACACGTAAACTCTGATAAACATTTACCCTGTGGTGAGTTCTTAGACTGTTAACACGTAAACTCTGCTAAACATTTACCCTGTGGTGAGTTCTGTACGTCTGCACAATATGAGTTTGAAAGGTTGTATTCACATAGAAAAAACAATATAATTAGTGTTTGTTAAGATTGAGAAATATTTTGAGTAAAATTTAACAATGATTTCTTTTTAAGACTGACATTTTTAACACATTCATTAGCAAGACGAGATAGCATGAATAAAAACTTGTACCCAGAACCTGTTTTTGGTAATCCCATGAAGAACTTAAATTTCCCATTAGGAATTGTGAGACAATTAACTTCATGACCTGTATATATGCTGTTTCTTGGACTTCAGGTATGTAGTTAATACATTGTTGATATATAACACTAAACTATTGTGTATAATGGACAGGCCTACAGACTGGAACCCCTGATTCTGAAGCACTACTCCACCATTGCACCACTTTGTATACACAAACATGACGCAGGAAATAAGCAGCCCTACGGCCAGATGAAAACAGAAGCTTACGCTGCCTTCCAGGCCTCAAGTGAGAGTGAGCGGGGTGACCAGTCAGATCGCGAGTTTGTAGATAGCACAGAGCTTGCCTCAAACAGCAGCCAGGATACTTCTCCGTCTCGTAACCAAGGTTTTACTTCCTTCTGTGGGTACTTTGGTGTTGTCTCCCCTTGCTGGTAACTCTTCGTGTATAGTCATGTTCATCACTCTTGTTAGGCCTAATTATATACAGATCAATCTTCGATTTTGTGGGAACTGAAGATGTTATAATTTTAATCCAATAAACATGATAAGATGTAGTATGTAACTCCAAGGTAAATGTATTTTTGTTTTAGTTAAGAACATATTTAGGATATGTAGAGCCTGGTCCAGTGTGATGTACTTGACATATATGACTAGTTTCCAGTGCTTTTTTTAGTGTAGATCATATATCATTTGTACAGTGGAACCTCGTTTATCTGGAGATCCTAGATTACTGAAATTACATATGGAAAAATTAAAATCTGTTTGCAAAATTCAGAAAACTGGATTTTTTTCTTCTTCATTGACAAAAACTAATAAATTCAATGGAAATTGGGACATTTACAACTGAAATGTGAGTGTAGTCTGGGTTTCTACTATGGTTCCACTGTATTATTCTGGTGGTGCTGTAAATTAAGTCTCACAAAGCAGTGCAATGGTACATGTAGTACACAAAATTAAAATGTTTGGATAATCTTTCATTTTTTTTAATAAATGGCCATAACCAAGACTTTTTTTCCAGGTAAATCAATAAATGATGGGAAAGGTTATGTATGAGATGGAACTCTTTTCTGTTTGTTACAACAGTTTACAAGTATACACTGAAACCAGGGCCCGTACCGTATCTCACGCTCAAGCATGGACTTTGTGCTCAAGCCTAATTTCTTGTTTTAGTTATAAATTGATATTTTTTTTTATAATTTTCTCAATGATTTGGAAACGATTTGAGGAGACTGAAAGGCCAATACTGTCTTTCAATGTTTACATTTGACTTTTTGGTTGTTTTAAGTGAGTTACAAGAAAGCTGGTTTGAGCACAGAATCCATGCTTGATCATGTGAGTGATGTTATGAACACCCAGGGACCAATGTATTGTATGGAGTATGTACCTCCATATGTAGGCGAGCACTGCGAGACCTACAGTCAGGTTTCTGTTGTAGACTGTTTACACGGTTGACGTTGTTTTACCATATATACACTTCTTTATTATCAAATCAGCAGTACTCCCAGAGATAGTTACGTTTTGTGTTTTGCACGACTTGTAGAATTTTTTTTGTTTGGTACCAAGGGNGTACTCCCAGAGATAGTTACTTTTCGTGTTTTGCATGACTTGTAGAAAAATTTCTGTTCGGTACCAAGGGTGTGGTTTTGTATAATACAAGATATTTCCAATTACCAGTAATTTGTTTAGTTTTCTTGTTTATAGATATAGTTTACAAGTGTATTTTAACAAAAAAAGCATGCTATTTGATATCCTTCATCCATTATCAATATTATTCATAATTGAAAACTTAACAAAATACCTCGTAAAATAAATTTTACATCTTTATGTCTAAAGTTATGATGAAGGTTTGTAAATAAGCTAAGATGTTTTCTGGTGGTAGCCATTGAAGACAAGTTTTCTGTCGTCATTGTATGTATAAGGATTTTTTCTGAATGATTCAATATTTTGACTTCACTCAGTTAAACATATTTTAGTGAAAGCAACAAATGTTTTGTTTTGAGATGAAATCTTTTTATATTGTTCTTATTATGGCATAACTGTAACACATTTGTATACTTCATTTACTTCCCCACTTGATTGTTGTAAAACCATTTTTACCATCGATGTACAGATACAAGAAAAGACATGCAGGTATAATGAAAACAAATATCAACAGAATATATCCCATCACAGTAAACATTCACTGCTTAATTAAATCATTGTAAAATTGGCTTCTTTCAGTAACTGGTATCTTCACAAAGAAGAATGAGGTCAGTCTTGCTGCGGAACTGAAGAGCATCAAGAGATTGGAGAAGGACGCGGCTGCCATAGAGAAGTCACTGAATTCTGAGATGATGGAGGAGGATATAGACCAAACAGGTACAAAGTGATGTCATACTTAATAAATAGAATGGAGGAGGATATAGACCAAACAGGTACAAAGTGATGTCATACTTAATAAATAGAATGGAGGAGGATATAGACCAAACAGGTACAGAGTGATGTCATACTTAATAAATAGAATGGAGGAGGATATAGACCAAACAGGTACAAAGTGATGTCATACTTAATAAATAGAATGGAGGAGGATATAGACCAAACAGGTACAAAGTGATGTCATACTTAATAAATAGAATGGAGGAGGATATAGACCAAACAGGTACAAAGTGATGTCATACTTAATAAATAGAATGGAGGAGGATATAGACCAAACAGGTACAAAGTGATGTCATACTTAATAAATAGAATGGAGGAGGATATAGACCAAACAGGTACAAAGTGATGTCATACTTAATAAATAGAATGGAGGAGGATATAGACCAAACAGGTACAAAGTGATGTCATACTTAATAAATAGAATGGAGGAGGATATAGACCAAACAGGTACAAAGTGATGTCATACTTAATAAATAGAATGGAGGAGGATATAGACCAAACAGGTACAAAGTGATGTCATACTTAATAAATAGAATGGAGGAGGATATAGACCAAACAGGTACAAAGTGATGTCATACTTAATAAATAGAATGGAGGAGGATATAGACCAAACAGGTACAAAGTGATGTCATACTTAATAAATAGAATGGAGGAGGATATAGACCAAACAGGTACAAAGTGATGTCATACTTAATAAATAGAATGGAGGAGGATATAGACCAAACAGGTACAAAGTGATGTCATACTTAATAAATAGAATGGAGGAGGATATAGACCAAACAGGTACAAAGTGATGTCATACTTAATAAATAGAATGGAGGAGGATATAGACCAAACAGGTACAAAGTGATGTCATACTTAATAAATAGAATGGAGGAGGATATAGACCAAACAGGTACAAAGTGATGTCATACTTAATAAATAGAATGGAGGAGGATATAGACCAAACAGGTACAAAGTGATGTCATACTTAATAAATAGAATGGAGGAGGATATAGACCAAACAGGTACAAAGTGATGTCATACTTAATAAATAGAATGGAGGAGGATATAGACCAAACAGGTACAAAGTGATGTCATACTTAATAAATAGAATGGAGGAGGATATAGACCAAACAGGTACAAAGTGATGTCATACTTAATAAATAGAATGGAGGAGGATATAGACCAAACAGGTACAAAGTGATGTCATACTTAATAAATAGAATGGAGGAGGATATAGACCAAACAGGTACAAAGTGATGTCATACTTAATAAATAGAATGGAGGAGGATATAGACCAAACAGGTACAGAGTGATGTCATACTTAATAAATAGAATGGAGGAGGAGGATACAGACCAAACAGGTACAAAGTGATGTCATACTTAATAAATAGAATGGAGGAGGATATAGACCAAACAGGTACAGAGTGATGTCATACTTAATAAATAGAATGGAGAAGGATATAGACCAAACAGGTACAGAGTGATGTCATACTTAATAAATAGGAATTCATCCTGATACATGTACAACCTCACATCTACTTCAGTAAGTTGAAATGCCCTCTGTGGGACACAGTCCAGACCAAATGCTAGCTAGGAGCAAGGTTCTCTAAGACCTTTTTAAAAACTTTTAAAGTTTAATAAATCCAGGTAGCATTTACCTCAATTCCACATTACTGGGCTCCTCGGAGATCTAAGGAAGCATAGGTGGAGGGCCACTATACACTATCAAGTCACTTTACCGTCACATTATCCTACTAATGAAAACTAACCATTATTGAGGCAATGTGTGACATGTATAAACAAAAGTGATACTATGATATTGTTGGGGTTTAAGTGTCCTCTAGTCTTTTACATTATATATAATAACATTTTATATATTCATAGCTAATTATATATAATTCAAACGATCTTACAGGTGCTTGTCAAAATGAACACGTTTTATTTGACCTATTCTGTCTTTTTTTCACCCATCAGCTGTTAATATTGTACATTTTATCATACATATTATCTTGACCATGTTTAAGATGAGCTTCATGCTCAATATGTTATCAAGAATAAATAAAGCCTTTATATTCATTGTCCATCTTTTTCCTGATCTGAGTGTCTCATGTCTTCATCCAAATTTACTGACTTATAATTACATAGTTCTAGAAATGTGCCCATGACCAGTACATTGTTATTGTTGATTTTAAGTTGTTGATATGATGCTGTAGCTATTACAAGTAAACTTTTAATCCAGTCCATATGTATGTTACAGATTTGGAGTACCGTATTGATTTCCAGCTGAGAGAAGGTGGATTTGTCAGCAGTTATCTCTCTTTGCTGACCTCTCATACCTCCTATTGGAAGGACAGTGATGTGGCCTACTTTCTGTTGACACATCTTCACCCAGCTCTAGAACATTCCTGACAGAGGTCAGGGGTATAGTAGCTTTACACTGGACACACAATAAGTGCTGTTCTTTGGAAGGATTACAGGGCAAGGAGAAAACTACAACACACAAGAATTGTGTTTTCGTGTGTTAATGTGTTACCCCTGAATTCAGTCATATACACATGTATATGGAAGACACACAGTCTGTGGCGTGTAAGCCCATAAACAGATATGATGTGTTAATGGGTGTCCAGTCTAACAACAGAAGTTTTCATCAGGTATATTTTTGAAAAAAGATGATTTCTTCAGTAAACAGCCCTTGTAGGGATCCTGAGTAACAATACAATTAAAACCAGGAAATCTAATGAGTTATTGAAGCTCAATAAGTGAAGTGATATAAAGGTAATAATAAATAGCAGTGTGGTTCTCTCAGGTTTGGATGGAACCAAAGGAGTCATGTAGTTCAAGTAAGGTGGGAATAAAATCAAAGGAATGGCAGTGTGAATCTGTTCAGGCAGGAATGGTATCACAGGAGTGGCAGTGTGGTTTAAGTCATGATAGAATGGTATCTAAGGAATGGCAGTGTGGCTATGAGTCACCTTAGAATGGTATCTAAGGAGTGGGAGTGTGGCTATGAGTCACCATAGAATGGGATCTAAGGTGTGTCAGTGTGGCTATGAGTGACCTTAGAATTGTATCTAAGGAGTGGCAATGTGAATGTGAGTCACCTTAGAATGGTATCTAAGGAGTGGCAGTGTGGCTATGAGTCACCTTTGAATTGTATCTAAGGAGTGGCAATGTGAATGTGAGTCACCTTAGAATGGTATCTAAGGAGTGGCAGTGTGAATATGAGTCACCTTAGAATGGTATCTAAGAAGTGGCAGTGTGGCTATGAGTCACCTTAGAATGGTATCTAATGAGTGGCAATGTGGTTTTAGTCATGTTAAAATGGTATCTTAGGAGTGGCAGTGTGGCTTTGAGTCACCTAAGAATGGTATCTAAGGAGTGGCAGTGTGGCTATGAGTCACCTTAGAATGGTATCTTAGGAGTAGCAGTGTGTCTATGAGTCACCTTTGAATGGTATCTAAGGAGTGGCAGTTTGGCTTTAGTCATGTTAGAATGGTATCTAAGGAGTGGCAGTGTGGCTGTGAGTCACCTTTGAATGGTATCTTAGGATTGGCAGTGTGGCTGTGAGACACCTTAGAATGGTATCTAAGGAGGGGCAGTTTGGCTTTAGTCATGTTAGAATGGTATCTAAGGAGTGGCAGTGTGGCTGTGAGTCACCTTTGAATGGTATCTTAGGATTGGCAGTGTGGCTGTGAGACACCTTAGAATGGTATCTAAGGAGTGGCAGTTTGGCTATGAGTCACCTTAGAATGGTATCTAAGGAGTGGAAGTGTGGCTGTGAGACACCTTAGATTGGTATATAAGGAGTGGCAGTTTGGCTATGAGTCACCTTAGAATGGTATCTAAGGAGTGGAAGTGAGGCTGTGAGACACCTTAGATTGGTATATAAGGAGTGGCAGTGTGGCTCCAATGAGGTTGGATTGTACCAATGTGTATTTTTTTTATATTATATATGGAGTAAGTGTTTGTGTAACAAGCATATCAAGTGATCAGAAAATCTCTAACAAATATGCTGTTATTTTTTAGATTATGAATGTTTTTGTGAGAAATACCCACCAAGGATTGCAGAATATGTAAACTTATTACAACTTTCTGTGAGAATCGGAATGCACTAAAAGTGATAATACATTTATAAGGTTTTTGAATGTTTTGTATTCTCTCTGCTGGTTTTGTTTTGCTCAATTAGAGAAAAGGACACATTCCAATTATAACTGCTTTGTGATACAATGTATTTGATGTTTGTATTAGTACTACTGTTGTAGATCATTTAGTACTCCTATCATAGATCAGATTGTGCATTCCTAAATCTAAGTAACTCATCTAATTTTCTGCTAATATATGAACTCCACTCTACAGTTAGAACTTTCCCACTGTGACCTTGTACATATGTATCAATACTTGTTTAAGATGGTATTGATGATGCTTGACTTAGTAAGAAGTTGTGTATTGGTGATTCAGTGATGGTTAGGAAGGGAAGTCACTTTTTCAGCTACACATCACCCTTTTATTGGGTATACTGTATTCTGGGTTTTGTCACCAAGTCAACCTTTCGACCTTCACCGATAACATCCATATTCACCTAGTGTTAACCCTTTCACCACTGTAGACCATAATGGACTCATCCATATCAGTCTACTTAAGTTACATAGGGGTGAAAGGGTTACTTTTGCCCTTCAGATTTAGTTCTATGTATTTTATGTTGTTTTCTAATGTTCGCTGTTATGATAAATTTGCCCTGATTACGGAGAGTGAAAATTACACTGCAGCGAAATTTTCCTGTATACAGTATATACATGTATCATAATCCTTATCTGCTGAAAGACATTTTTACTAGATTTAAAATTTAAATCTGCCACTGTAGTACAGATTGGTAAAACTTATTTATGGATTTGAAATTGATAGGAAGATTATCTTTAAAATAGTTGGAAGAAGTAACTTCAGTATGAATTTCCTGGTAATATACTTGATCAAGACAAAAGGTTTGTTATACAACTTGGACTGTAAGGAAGGTGTCAATTCTTTTTGACTTCAACATTAAAATAACAAAAAAGGCTAAATATAATGTCATTAAATATTCCGCCGGAGAGCATATACTTCTTATGTCGGATTCCACCGAGGAAAGACAATACTTCAGTGTCTCAATGTTATATAACCATCCTGTGATTTTTACCTATATGCTGTACCAATATTGTGGTGCTTTATTTTCTTACGGATATATTTTATTGAATGGTTTAGGTTATAAGTGGTGTTTTTGATTGTGTGATGAGATCAGTGTATATACAATGTAGATATAAGTTTGTATAACTGCCTGTATAAGCTGTTATATGTTTACTTGCTTTTTTGTGAGTTATATTAATTCCTTTTTACTCGTGGTTTATGCTACAAAAGTAAAATTTCAATTTCATCTCCAAGGACAATGGAACCTGAAAATATAGGAGTGTAATCGGGATCCACTGTGTCAGTGAACAAATCAATCTCTTCTTATGGAGTTTAACATTCCTGAGAAAATTATTGTTTTTGTGCAATGAATATATACATGCATTTACCCATTTTAAATTCATCTCATTCAAGGAAGAAGTGGTAGAGACATCATTTAATAATCACGTCGATCTCAAAATCCATTCCTTGTTTATCAAGTACTTCTGTTTGTCCAGAATTTTCGATAAGTACATTTACCAAGCCAATACATAACCTTTGACATTATAATTCATTGTATCATTCACTAATGTATATTATATGTCAACCGTGACAGTGTGTTTGAAGAAGGAAATTCAATATTGCCCGATGTTCCTTAGGTCACTGTTGCTGAAAATTAAATGGGGGTGGGTGTCTGGGTCAGACAAGTGTTAATAATGCGTTATAGTACTGTTCAAAATACACTGTAGTACTTATATATTAATTATCTGACCATTTGACGGAAAAGGAAATGTGCAACATAACCAGAATCAGGAAATCCAAGATGGCCAGCTGTCAAAATCAAAGATACTAAAAATAGAACAGGAAGGATACTGTCAAAACTACTTTTCTGGCCCTATGGACTTGTTTGTGTTTGTTTAGATTGGAAAAGGAACTTGGACAACATCCAACATTTATAACTTTATATTTCCTAGAATCAGGAAATCCAAGATGGCCACCGTCCATTGCTTCTGATTGGCTGAAATATATATATGGCTATATATTATGTTCTGTTAACACAATTTTGTTCATACTTGGTGGCAAATGGTACTTACAGGATAGTTGATCATATGGTGAATAAGAAAGCATTATTAGGATCACATAAAACAAGATGGCTGCCATGGATATGATTGGCTACAATGTCTACCTTAGAGCTTGTAACTTTTGTTCTACCGTTTTGATTTAGTTCATACTTACTGGTAAATAGTATTTGAAGAATTACAAATGTGTTGAACTTTTCATTACCAATAATATTAAAAAATTCCAAAATATCACTGTTGCTTTTGCTTGGTGATTCTAGTTGATATAATTATTTGGTCAGGCACACGGCAAGGCCCTTCCTGACCTGTCAGTGCTGTAGTTTATTTTTATGTGTATGCTCATTTTTCACTGTTTATTTTCACATGTTAGTGCAATATACATAAGAGATTCAGCCAAATTAGTTTGTACTGTTGATTTTATGAAACAAAATCACATTGATCAAGATAAGTAATAAAAAAACCCATGTATTTGTAAATTCTTATTCAACTCCTATTTACACAAAGGAATCTTAATCACTGCCTCACAAGGCATTAGACCTTTGACAAATTGGACGTTACTGTCCAATTTTTTAATAGCACACATATGGAGTGCTCCGTCACTTACTGATATACACACACTCCCTCAACCACCCACCCACACTTGTACACATATCTTGATCACCCAGACACATCCATATCCTCAGCAACCCCCAAATGTACACAAACACTCATACATGTACACACATACCCTCAGCCACCCACACATGTAAACACACACCTTGATTACCCAGACATACCCTCACACATGTACACATATGTATAAACACTTACCTTGATCACTCACCCATGTACACACATACCCTTAGCCACCCACACATGTAAACACACACCTTGATTACCCAGACATACCCTCACACATGTAAACACGTGCCTTGATCACTCACCCATGTACACACATACCCTTAGCCACCCACCCACACCCACACATGTACACACATACCCTCAGTAACCCCCTACACATGTACACACATACATTAGCCAGCCCCACACAAGTACACATATACCCTTAGCCATCCACCCACACATACCCTTAGCCACTCTCACACACATACCCCAAGCCATCCACCCACACATACTCTTAGCCACCCCCACACAAGTACACACATACCCTTAGCCACACCCTAAACATGTACACACATACCCTCAGCCACCCCACACACATGTACAACATACCCTTAGCCACCCACCCACATACATACATACCCTTGGCCACCCACCCACACCCGTATAATCATATACCTCAACTACCCAGTGCAACTCACTGGTGTATGACATGCACTGTTGAGAATATTTTTATCAAGAATATATCATAAACTGCATATGTTATAAGTCAGAAATATAGACCAGTATTTGATGTGCTTGTGGGAACTTTGTCAAAAAGATCAAATTGGATGTCTTGTATTTTTGTTATGCGACAAGATTTATTTTATGGGCTTTCCAAATGCCAAATGTTTAAAATAAAAAAGTGTTTTATAAACATTAAGCAACATGTTTGGTTTTTGTTTTAACAAAATGTTCATGACACAATGAAAAACAATTGTGTGATAGTGAAAATAAATGGAAATCAATTTTCTTTCCAGATGCCACAAATATGACTGAAAAAAAGTATTAAGAGGTCTTGCATGCTAGTATTATTGGGATGAAATTTAAAATGTGCAAAAACATTTTCATTTGTGGCTCCTCTTTCTTTTGAATACCTATTTCAAAATGACATGTCAAGATTTTTATTTTCAGAAATTAAAAATTTTGCTTTAGGAAATAAAATAAGATTCAATTAAATTATTAATGATGCGTTTATGCTGAAGCTTGACTATCAGATAGTGCATGTGATGCACAATATTGTCTGTCCAATGGGGAAGCAACTTAGCTGTAATATGTTAACTGTGGGTATGATAAACAAACGAATTTCTGTGATAATCTCGCAAATCTTATTATTGCCCTCATGTAATATGGTGTGGCATATTTGATTACAATCACAAATTTTCTTTAATGGCAAATTATGAAGTTAGTTCGAGTTTCCCCCTAAATATAAATATTCAAAAATACTGGCTTTTAAAAGAACTCGCCGAAGTAATAACACAAACATTTGGAATCTTTTGAAATTTTGTTTATTTTTGAAAATATTTTCTCATATTCAATAACAGAGTATGATTGTGATGATCAGAATCACAATTATTTTTAAGCAATAAATGCTATTTCTGACAAGGCCAATATCTATATTTCCCCCTCCCTCACAATAGATACTATTTCTGACGAGGCCAATATTTATATTTCCCCCTCCCTCAAAATAAATGCTATTTCTGACGAGGCCAATATTTATATTTCCCCCTCCCTCACAATAAATGCTATTTCTGACAAGGCCAATATTTATATTTCCTCCTCCCTCACAATAAATGCTATTTCTGACAAGGCCAATATCTATAGCTCCCCCTCCCTCACAAAAAATGCTATTTCTGACAAGGCCAATATTTATATTTCCCCCTCCCTCACAATAAATGCTATTTCTGACAAGGCCAATATCTATAGCTCCCCCTCCCTCACAATAAATGCTATTTCTGACAAGGCCAATATCTATATTTCCCCCTCCCTCATAATCAACATCTCAACTGACTGAATGCAAATATTTTTCTGAACTTCTTAAAACTTCATGGATCAGCATTGGGCAACAAACTGTGTGAAAGCCGGCCGTGTCAAGAGGATCGTATACAGTACATTTATCTGGAAACTTAAATGGGGTCAACACAAAACGTACTGTACACTGCATTTTTGCTCTAACATAACAGTTTGTAGCAGAAAGGGGAAAAATGATTGTCTGCCATGGGACTCTCCTATCTACATCGTACAGATACATGCTGTACCAAATCAATAATACAGGGACATCACCAAATTTAGTGTTACACTTTTCATAGGAGTATTTCTATCTCCATAGCTAATTTGAAATGTTATGTAATACAGTACATTGTACAAAGTTGGTTAACAAAAACCGATTCACTTCTCTCGTGACTTTTGTAATAAATTATTACCTTATTGGCAATTTCTATTTACAGATAGTTGTCAGTGTCATTTATACATGTACAAAGAAGTCCCGAAAGATATGGGCAATAGGCACACACATACATGATACCAACACATAATACTTTTGAAGTAGAAACTACAACTCCAATTTTTTGGGAAACATTATTCATACATTTTACTAGTATTTTGGACCATTTTGAGCAATATCAGAATTTCCTCATTCAAAATGCAATTGCATAAACGTGTCAGGATCAAAATAATTTTTAAACTTGGAGAAATGGATATGTACTGTTATTAAATCATGTTCACATTTCCTAATGTCCCAAAAGATGTCAACAAAACAGTAACAAATAAGTCTTGTTATCACCAACAGAATACTAGAGTGATTGTCATACAATGTTTATAAATTGTACGACCAAACTTGTCTGAACACCAACCCTCTATTCTGTGACCACTAGTCTTATGTATCTACAAACCTGTTGTATGGACCACCGCTTTTCAGGGGCGTTTTATACGACCTTCATACCTGTCCAGTTCTCAGCGTAGGAGGGTCATTGATGTTAAAATGCAGGTCAACCCTGGGAATCGTGTTTATGTTGTTTCAGTATGTAAACTTTTCAAAGTCATCAAAATCAGTAAGGATGGCACATAAATTATCATAGTTCACCATTTTGGTATACTAGTACTGTAAGCTTTGTCTTAGAAGTCTTCTAATATTCAAAGGTTCAAAAAGGTGATTTTAAAACATTTTAATGTTGATTTCAGCAGTTCAAAAGCAGAAATTCCAAAATATCCAGCAATCTGCATAGGCCATAGAGGTAATTTGCAGATTGACTTACACAAATGTAGGTGTCTCGGCCGGGACCTGTATACATCGATTCCCTGTCCAATATGCCCAGTTACCATGATTTTCAGTTGCCTTCATGTAACCTATCCTTAGCAACTTTTTATTGTTTTCCTAAATGTGAAAAATTGATGTGTGTTTTGTGTTTACAAATTTTGAACATTGTAGAATTTGCTGTTTTGTTCCATTATTCTCAATACACATGTAAATTATACGTTTTACAGCAATTGATTATGGAGGACAAGTTCTGGTTCTTAACCGAAATTTTACATTTACACTGATTTGGAACTCTTTTTGATTGGAAATACAAATCTACATATCATGACAAAGTAGTGTATTCAATTAAGACAGGTTTGACTGTATTTCAGCATGTATCCTGCATGTCTGTATACTGAACATATAGAAACAATACTGAATTATCACTATTAAACTTTTAAAGTTTCCATATACCGATATGTAAAAAAAAAAAAGTCTATGAGCATCATTCTCAATTTGCCCAAACTTGCTGGAAAGGATGAACTGCATCAAATTATAAAAACATCTTCAAAAATAATACATAATGCTGAAAACAGTAAAATATTGTGTCTCAACAACTTCAGGTAATACCTGCTCTTCACCATATCTTACATATACCGGTAATATACTGGTAAGTATAAATTTAGTGGCATGAAGCTTAAGGGTCTCATACAAAGCACTAGATAGTTATATATAATCACACAGAGAACACCACACCTGTATGAGTTGGGGGTCCTACCAAGTCACTTTTAACCCCATATAAAACAGAACCTATGGGGAATAAGATTAGGCCATGTGGGTTCACATATGTCTGTTGAATAAATCCTTATATCCCCATAAAACATTATCAATGATACTTCAGTCAGTGTCAATAATATAAGACATAATGATTGATAAAGACCACCACCTCCCCTACGTTGTAAAATCTGCAATTAATAATGAAGTTCCACTTTATTCCCTGAAACACACTGTTTCATTTTCACACTTATAATATAGTCACAGCCTGTTCCATGTAACTCTTAGTTACAACCTGATCCATATTCAGAGCTATAGCATGGCTCTCTAGGTTACAGCCTGTTTCATGTAACCCTTGGTTACATCTTGCTCCATGTCTTGGTTACAGCCTGTTTCTTATGACCTTAGTGCTCTGTTTCCCAGGACCCATAATGGCACTTGTTTTATCCTTTTGTTAGATCTTTCGTTTGAGTTTTTCCTGAGTGAATTTGATGTATTTATTCCTATTGACTACATACTGTATCCCAGACCCCACGGTAGTGGCTCCTGTGAGGTACCTGGAAAAAATCAATATTCATGTATAGCCTTTCCATACAGGTGGGTTATACATTGTACTGATCACTCACCAATATCCAGTTTAATCTTAGATGGTATTACATGTTTGTATCACAATGCATACAACTTAAGGCTAAGTGTAAATCAATTTTAATGAAAATGTCATGTTCTAAATTCAAAATGATCAGCATAGGACAAAAGTATAAAGATAATGACTGTTATTGCAATGAAATGTTTCGGCTGACTGTAAAGTTTGACTGAACCTTACAAACAAATCTATCAAAGTACTTAAAATCATGCTATAAAAAAAGTTAATAAAAAGAACAAGAGTCATTCTCAGGAAATTGGCTTGTGGTCCCCATTATTATAATTATGATGTCATAAAGCAATGACATCACAATTATAGTCGAAGGAGTATGACAGTGAAATTCTAGTCTAAGTATTGGTGACCTTGACCTTTGACTGAATATACATGTAGCATATTCAAATTAGTCAAAGACAAACATCCTGTTGAAGTCACTTCAAAATCTTTTAAGAAACACAACTGCTATAATGATGATAAGGAGAAGGATGGTAAAGTTTGATATTCACTAAAAGTGACCTTGACCTTTGACCACTAGAGAGTAAAAAACAGACAGGATAACAATACCCTTGCTTAGCATCACGGAGATGTAAGTGATACATACCAGAGTCCCTGTAGATATAGGTGGTCCACAAAGCCAAACACTGGAGCAGCCATGGAAGCAGCTATCAGGCACAGTTGTAGTCCTGTGTTCCACTGAACAGTATACATACAGTCAGACTTCATGCATAATAAATACATTCATTTACCACAGCAACAAAGTGGGAAAAGTTAAATAACCCATTTTGTACAACACGATCACAGTATTCAAATGAATGCATATCACATATTTGATAGGTATGGAACTTGTTTTTCATCCCCATAGAGTATTGTTTGACACATTTAATATATATGATGGATTAACATTAAGTAATTATTGCTTTTGGGAATTAAAAACTCCATGATTCAGTTTAAGTTACCTGACATACAATCATGGAAAACTATCATCTTACAATAACAAAACCTATTTTAGGGGCTTAATCCAACTATTTGAATAAATCTGAACGTGTTTGTTATACTATTTATGTTATACTTACCTTACTGAGTGTAGATGGGAGGAGAGTGACTGTGGCATGACTCACATCAAAATATCTCTTCAGGTTCCTCTGTTGGAAACATAAAACACACTGTAAATCCTAGCATAACCTAGCTGTAATACCCAGCATACCCTAACTGTATTACCAAGCACACCCTTACTGTATTACCCAGCATACCCTAACTGTATTACCTAGCATACCCTAACTGTATTACCCAGCATACCTTAGCTGCATTACCCAGCATTCCCTAGCTGTATTACCCAGCATAACCTAGCTGTATTACCCATCATACCCTAACTGTATTACCAAGCACACCCTTACTGTATTACCCAGCATACCCGCATACCTTAGCTGCATTATCCCTTACTGTATTACCCAGCATGTCCTAACTGTATTATCCAGCATAACCCAACTGTATTACCCAGCATACCTTAACTGTATTACCTAGCATACCCTAACTTTGTTACCCAACATACCCTAACTGTATTACCCCGCATACCTTAGCTGCATTATCCAACATACCCTTACTGTATTACCCAGCACTTAACTGTATTACCCAGTATGACCTAACTTTATTACCCAGCATACCCTAGCTGTATTTCCCAGCATACCCTAACTTTATTACCCAGTATACCCTAGCTGTATTACCTATCATACCATAACTGTATTTCCCAGCATTCCCTTTCTTTATTACCCAGCATACACTAACTGTATTACCCAGCATACCCTTACTTCATTAACCATCATACCCTAACTACATTACCCAGCATATCCTAACTGTATTGCCCAGCATACCCTAGCTGTATTACCCAGCATACCTTAGCTGTATTACACAGGATACCTAAGCTGTATTACCCAGCATACCCTAACTGTATTACCCAGCATACCCGAACTGTATTACCCAGCATACCCTTGCTATATTACCAAGCATACCCTTAGCTGTATTATCCAGCATAACCTAACTGTATTACCCAGCATATCCTAACTGTGTTACCCAGCATTCCCTTGCTGTATTACCCAGCATACCTTAGCTGCATTATCCAACATACCCTTACTGTATTACCCAGCATACCCTAACTGTATTACCCAGCATACCCTTACTGTATTACCCAGCATACCCTTGCTATATTACCAAGCATACCTTAGCTGTATTACCCAGCATATCCTAACGTGTATTACCTATCATACCCTAACTGTATTACCCAGCATACCCTTACTGTATTACCCAGCATACCCTAACTATATTTCCCAGCATACCCTTTCTTTACTACCCAGCATACCCTAACTGTATTACCCAGCATACCCTAACTTTATTACCCAGCAAACCCTAGCTGTATTACCAAGCATACCCTTACTGTATTACCCAGCATACCCTTACTGTTTTACCCAGCATGCCCTAACTGTTTACCCAGCATACCCTAACTGTATTACCCAGCATACCTTAACTATATTACCCAGCATACCCTAACTTTGTTACCCAACATACCCTAACTGTATTACCCAGCATACCCTAGCTGTATTACCCAGCATACCCTAACTGTATTACCCAGCATACCTAACCTGTATTACCTATCATACCCTAACTGTATTACCCAGCATACCCTTACTGTATTACCCAGCATACCCTAACAGTATTTCCGAGCATACCCTAACTGTATTACCCAGCATACCCTTACTGTATTACCCAGCATACCCTTACTGTATTACCCAGCATACCCTTACTGTATTACCCAGCATACCCTTACTGTATTACCCAGCATACCCTTACTGTATTACCCAGCATACCCTTACTGTATTACCCAGCATACCCTTACTGTATTACCCAGCATACCCTTACTGTATTACCCAGCATACCCTTACTGTATTACCCAGCATACCCTTACTGTATTACCCAGCATACCCTAACTGTATTACCCAGCATACCCTAACTGTATTACCCAGCATACCCTTACAGTATTACCCAGCATACCCTAGCTGTATTACCCAGCATACCTTAGCTGCATTGCCCAGCATACCCTTATTGTATTACCCAGCATATCCTTATTGTATTACTCAGCATACCCTTACTGTATTACCCAGCAGACCCTTACTGTTTTACCCAGCATACCCTTGCTATATTACCAAGCATACCTTAGCTGTATTATCCAGCATAACCGAACTGTATTACCCAGCATACCCTTACTGTAATACCCAGCATTCCCTTGCTGTATTACCCAGCATATCTTAGCTGCATTACCCAACATACCCTTACTGTATTACCCAGCATACCCTTACTGTATTACCAAGCATACCCTTGCTATTTACCCAGCATACCTTAGCTGTATTATCCAGCATACCTTAACTGTATTACTTAGCATACCCTTACTGTTTTACCCAGGATACCCTTGCTATATTACCAAGCATACCTTAGCTGTATTATCCAGCATACCCTTACTGTATTACCCAGCATACCCTGACTGTATTACCCAGCATACCCTAGCTGTATTACCCAGCATATCTTAGCTGCATTACCCAACATACCCTTACTGTATTACCCAGCATACCCTTACTGTTTTACCCAGCATACCCTTGCTATATAACCAAGCATACCTTAGCTGTATTACCCAACATACCCTAACTGTATTACCGAGCATACCCTAACTTTATTACCCAGTATACCCTAGCTGTATTACCAAGCATTCCCTTACTGTATTACTCAGCATACCCTTACTGTTTTACCCAGCATGCCCTAACTGTATTACCCAGCATACCTTCACTGTATTACCCAACATACCCTAACTGTATTACCGAGCATTCCCTAACTTTATTACCCAGTATACCCTAGCTGTATTACCAAGCATTCCCTTACTGTATTACTCAGCATACCCTTACTGTTTTACCCAGCATGCCCTAACTGTATTACCCAGCATACCTTCACTGTATTACCCAACATGCCCTAACTGTATTACCCAGCATACCCTAACTGTATTACCCAGCATACCCTTACTGTATTACCCAGCATACCCTAACTGTATTTCCCAGCATACCCTTTCTTTATTACCCAGCATACACTAACTGTATTACCCAGCATACCCTAACTTCATTACCTATCATACCCTAACTATATTACCCAGCATATCCTAACTGTATTACCCAGCATACCTTAGCTGCATTGCCCAACATACCCTTACTGTATTACCCAACATACCCTTACTGTTTTACCCAGCATACCCTTGCTATATAACCAAGCATACCTTAGCTGTATTACCCAACATACCCTAACTGTATTACCGAGCATTCCCTAACTTTATTACCCAGTATACCCTAGCTGTATTACAAAGCATACCCTTACTGTATTACTCAACATACCCTTACTGTTTTACCCAGCATGCCCTAACTGTATTACCCAGCATACCCTAACTGTATTACCCAGCATACCTTAACTATATTACCCAGCATACCCTAACTTTGTTACCCAACATACCCTAACTGTATTACCCAGCATACCCTAACTGTATTACCCAGCATACCTAACCTGTATTACCTATCATACCCTAACTGTATTACCCAGCATACCCTAGCTGTATTACCCAGCATATCTTAGCTGCATTACCCAACATACCCTTACTGTATTACCCAGCATACCCTTACTGTATTACCCAACATACCCTAACTGTATTACCCAGCATACCCTAGCTGTATTACCCAGCATACCTTAGCTGCATTACCCAACATACCCTAACTGTAATACCTAGCATTCCCTTGCTGTATTACCCAGCATTTCTTAGCTGCATTACCCAACATACCCTAACTGTATTACCTAGCATACCCTTACTGTTTTACCCAGCATACCCTTACTGTATTACCCAGCATACCCTAACAGTATTTCATAGCATACCCTAACTGTATTAGCCAGCATACCCTTACTGTATTACCCAGCATACCCTTACTGTATTACCCAGCATACCCTAACTGTATTACCCAGCATACCCTAACTGTATTACCCAGCATACCCTAACTGTATTACCCAGCATACCCTAACTGTATTACCCAGCATACCCTAACTGTATTACCCAGCATACCCTAACTGTATTACCCAGCATACCCTAACTGTATTACCCAGCATACCCTAACTGTATTACCCAGCATACCCTAACTGTATTACCCAGCATACCCTAACTGTATTACCCAGCATACCCTAACTGTATTACCCAGCATACCCTAACTGTATTACCCAGCATACCCTAGCTGTATTACCCAGCATACCTTAGCTGCATTACCCAACATACCCTAACTGTAATACCTAGCATTCCCTTGCTGTATTACCCAGCATATCTTAGCTGCATTACCCAACATACCCTAACTGTATTACTTAGCATATCCTTACTGTTTTACCCAGCATACCCTAACAGTATTTCATAGCATACCCTAACTGTATTAGACAGCATACCCTTACTGTATTCCCCAGCATACCCTTACTGTATTACCCAGTATACCCTTACTGTATTACCCAGAATACCCTTACTGTATTACCCATCATACCCTAGCTGTATTACCCAGCATATCCTAACTGTTTTACCCAGCATCCCCTTGCTATATTACCAAGCATACCTTAGCTGTATTATCCAGCAGAACCTAACTGTATTACCTAACATCCCCTAACTGTATTTCCCAGCATACCCTTTCTGTATTACCCAGCATACACTAACTGTATTACCCAGCATACCCGAACTGTATTACCCAGCATACCTTAGCTGTATTACCCAGCATACCTAAGCTGTATTATCCAACATACCCTAACTGTATTACCCAGCATACCCGAACTGTATTACCCAGCATACCCTTGCTATATTACCAAGCATACCTTAGCTGTATTATCCAGCAGAACCTAACTGTATTACCTAACATACCCTAACTGTATTTCCCAGCATACCCTTTCTTTATTACCCAGCATACACTAACTGTATTACCCAGCATACCCTAACTTCATTACCTATCATACCCTAACTATATTACCCAGCATATCCTAACTGTATTGCCCAGCATACCCTAGCTGTATTACCCAGCATACCTTAGCTGTATTACCCAGCATACCTAAGCTGTATTATCCAACATACCCTAACTGTATTACCCAGCATACCCGAACTGTATTACCCAGCATACCCTTGCTATATTACCAAGCATACCTTAGCTGTATTATCCAGCAGAACCTAACTGTATTACCTAACATACCCTAACTGTNGTTACCCAACATACCCTTACTGTATTACCCAGCATACCCTTATTGTATTACCCAGCATACCCTAACTGCATTCCCCAGCATACCCTAACTGTATTACCCAGCATACCCTTACTGTCTTACCCATCATACCCTAGCTGTATTACCCAGCATACCTTAGCTGCATTACCCAACATACCCTTATTGTATTACCCAGCATACCCTTACTGTATTACCCAGCACACCCTTACTGTTTTACCCAGGATACCCTTGCTATATTGCCAAGCATACCTTAGCTGTATTATCCAGCATACCCTAACTGTATTACCCAGCATACCCTTACTGTATTACCCAACATACCCTAGCTGTATTTCCCAGCATACCTTAGCTGCATTGCCCAACATACCCTTACTGTATTACCCAGCATACCCTTATTGTATTACCCAGCATACCCTTACCGTTTACCCAGCATACCCTTGCTATATTACCAAGCATACCTTAGCTGTATTATCCAGCATACCCTAACTGTATTACCCAGCATACCCTTACTGTATTACCCAGCATACCCTAGCTGTATTACCCAGCATACCTTAGCTGCATTGCCCAACATACCCTTACTGTATTACCCAGCATACCCTTATTGTATTACCCAGCATACCCTTACTGTTTTACCCAGCATACCCTTGCTATATTACCAAGCATACCTTAGCTGTATTATCCAGCATACCCTAACTGTATTACCCAGCATACCCTTACTGTATTACCCAGCATACCCTTGCTATAATCCAACATACCCTAACTGTATTACCCAGCATACCCTAACTGTATTACCCAGCATACCCTAACTGTATTATCCAGCATACCCTAACTGTATTACCCAGCATACCCTAACTGTATTACCCAGCATACCCTATCTGTATTATCCAGCATACCCTAACTGTACTACCCAGCATACCCTAACTGTATTACCCAGCATACCCTAACTGTATTACCCAGCATAACTTAGCTGTATTACCCAGCATACATTAATTAGCATACCCTAGCTATATATCACCCAGTTTATTTTAGGTTCTTTACTCATGGGCTATTCATAAGAGAAAAAATTGAGAATGGACTACAGGGTAGTGAACTGTTTAGGGATTATTTGGGATTGGACATGCAACTGTCTGTGGAATTGAACTGCTGGTTAGGGGCTTATAAGGGTCGGACCATTCAGCATATGGGTGGGGCTTATAAGAGTCGGACTATTCATCATATGGGTATGTAATGTGTGTGGCAAGTTGTCAGGATACAATGTACGTACCGGTGGAGGTAAGGTAATGTATCTCAAGTAGAATCCTGCACATATCAGCAAGGCGTCTCTCCCGATGATCAGACATGTCAGAGGCACTGTAATGTATAGGACATATACCAAATAGGGACAATAAAGGCTTCATCAAAACATACCAACACACTTCATTTAATCATGTACATGTGTAATGTTCCCACAATTTTATTTAAATTTTCACACAAAGTAAAAGTCACCTATATTAGGATATGATATTCATAAAATAGAAATTTAACAACATGAGTACATTTTTTATATGATTATTTACAGATTATGTAACAAAACATGTTAAAACTGTCAACTTTGTCATGTATTATTAAACTTCATACTGCTTTTTGAGATATTACCTGGTAATAATTCTGCCATTGTCAAAGTGATGGTAAGAATGCTGACCAAAAGTTTGTCAGCAAATGGGTCGAGGGCCGACCCTAACACAGACTGTTGGTTCTCAAAGTTACGGGCTATGAACCCATCCAGCTGCAGAAGAATAACAACAAACTACAAAACTGTACATATGGATTCAACAAGTCACTGGGAAGACAGGACATATCACATAAGTAAGTTGAACTGGAATGTTGAATGTGACCTGTCGTTTATGAATGAAGCATTACTGTGCCACTTTCAACAATACATATTACATAAAGACAATCATAAACATTGAAAACTTACAAAATCTGATAGGCCTGCCAATAGGAAAATCTTGAATCCTAAATCAAATTCGCCTGCAAGTACAAGGTAGCCAAGGTATGGCGTCACAGCTATCCGCAGTGACGTCAGCAGGTTTGGTATAGTGTAGATATTTTCTTTCTGAGAAAAGAAGTATAGAATGTTGGTACTTACTACATGCTTGGATTCTCGTGTTGAGTCTCTGTTGACTTTGAAGGCAAACATAATATACTGTATTACAATTATTTTCAGGGTTTCATATACTTAGTAACATTTATATTTCAATTCATGTAAAAAAAATATGATTAGATATATATGACTTCAAAGTAATGAAAAGCGCTGCTAAAATGGGAAAACATAATGTTTAAAAAATATTCTCGTTGACTGAAAATATGTCGACTTTGTTATAAATGATGTGCTGCCATTGGGTGGCTATAGAATGTTGGCAGCATAAACAAGTCTGTCATGATACACTCACAAGATATGTGTAGGAAATGTTAAAAAGGACCAAGGGACAAGGAAATAGGTTAGTGGTAATTACGCTAAACATGGTAGCCAATAGAATGATGGGCATTATGTAGTGGTTTTCATCATTGTGGCTTTTATTTTGTAATTTAGCCAATTACTGTGAAATCAGATATTTTCGTGGGGCCTAAATTTGGGTCCCCCGCCAAAAAAACACCATTTCATGGGAACATGAATTTGTGGATTACGAGTACCCACTCATACAGAGAATGGCTATATGTCAAATTTTTAAATACTTCGTGGACCTATGAATTTGTGGATGATGATTATCAACAAAATCAATGAAATTCGAAATCCCTCGAAAATTAGTGATTTCACAGTAAATACAAATAATGTTCGACAACCATCAAATGTACAAAGTATAGTTAGATCGACACATAATTATTTTCATAACACTACATTATATATTACTAATGTTTTACAGTGTCTAATTGATCCATATGCTTAATTATATTATATTATATGTTATGACATCAGATTGAACACAATTTCATGTATGGGTAAGAACCTTTGTATTAATGTATCATGTTTGGGTAATTATAAGAGGTTTTGTTTCAATGACAATCAGTCATGTCAAATTCCATATCTTGAGAGTTTTATGCCGCTGTCCAGTCGAAAATACTCAGGAAAGGTACAGTCAAGATTTGTTCAACGGTTTTTCATGGGACTATCCTCCAATCAGAGAAACTTACCTGTAAAAACCGATTCCGAAGTCTTTGACGAAACAGGTGAATTTGCCTCAACAACATGTCTGATGTTTGAATCAACTGTTCTTACTGACAACTATAGAGACATACATGATTTTTATTTCAAGTTTAAAATAAATGTTAAAATATACCTTGACTCTTGCCTAATGCTAAAAACATATATAAGTTCAGCTTAGTTCAGAAAATACATGTTAAAAAAATATTTAAAGTGTTTATTTTCAAGATTTATGAGATGACAAAAACTTCCTATATTAAATGTTTTCGCTGTGTGTTTTTTGTTTTGTAATGACAGATTTTTAAATCCTTTGAAGCAAAACAAATTGTATGGTGACCTTTATGTTTGCTGCACATATTCAAAGAGAAGTTTTTGTGATCATGACTATTTTGATAACTTTCTTGATATGGAAAACATTAATCTATCAGACACAGACTCTATTTGTAAATATTTTTCTTTGGAAACCCACTTGCTAATGCCACAATAAAAAATATATAGGACATAAAATGTCCCAAAAGTACACCTGGTCATTCCTTATACGCAGGTATCAATAATCAAGAAGTAATCAAAATTATAACAAAAACTGTTCAAAGTGCAATAGGTGACATTACAGTTGTAGTTTGAAGTAAAAGTTACAACTTACCGGTACGCAAAGGTTATAACTCACCAGGTGAGGGACTATGAACAATGACATATATCAAATAGTGGTTAAAACTCACCAGGTGAGGGACTATGAACAATGACATATATCAAATAGCTGTTACCTTGTTACAGGCCACACCAAAAGTCATCTCTGTTTTAAGTGATACATTGTAGGTCTCACCACAACCTCCAAACCTATCTGTGTTTGGATATAATGGACATTTATAATCTATACAGCAAATAAAAAAAAAAAGATTTTGAATCGGACTATAGGACCCATGCCATACTTGAGTGAAGCTACAGAATGTAAAATTTGCCATGGCCTAATATTCAAACAGACACACTTCCATTAGCCAAGTTGACCATTCCATGAACAGATGGATCTATTTGCCCTGATGATGAGACACTTGTAGTACATATCTGCCAGCTAATTAGATGACTGTGGGTATGGATTAAGTACACTGACACTCCAAAATACACCTCGCCTCTAGATAGAGCTAATTTAGTTCCCAAAGGTACACAACTGCAAACTTTAAAACACACAAGGACAGAGAGGATCTCGGGAGATCTCAGGGGTCTATCAGATGCATTCCTAAATTTCCCCCTTACTTAGATTTATATATATATAAAAAAAAATCAGCTAATTCTAAAATATTCTTTTGTATAACCAAGTGTCTTGAGTGCATTTTTTAAAGTAATTAACAATTTATTTATACATTCTATTAAAAAGTTATGTTACAAGTAGACTATTAGTATTTAAAAATTACCAAAATTTCTAGGTGATTTTATGACTTTGATGTCAGTCATCCGTTTGTATATAGTACCAACATTTCTTTAAAAGTGTACTTGAACAATAAAGAGCTTTGAATTAAATTCAGTGTGAATCACATCCCTAAGCCAAGAAAACCAAGTGCTTTATAGATACACATTGTATAAAGGTCAGCACCCCCCTCCCCAATCCAGGGACAGAGATTGTATAAAGGTCAGCACTCCCCTCCCCAATCCAGGGATAGAGATTGTATAAAGGTCAGCACCCCCCTCCCCAATCAAGGGACAGAGATTGAAGAGCATAGCCCAATAAGTGAAACTGAGACTTCTCTTTCACTAACTAATCTATAAGAAGGGGTGAAAAGATTTAAACCTGATTAGTATGCAACAAATCGGGGATTTCAATGTGTATAAATGGCAGGTGTGCACTCCCTTTGCAGACAGGGAGGCTTGGTCCAAAGGGAAACTAGTGGTTAATCTTTAAAAGATTACCCCTGCAATACAAGTAAATAGCGAGGAGATTTGGACTTAATTATGTGAGGAACATTCCTAGGCCAAATACGGGATCTAAATGTTGTATAAAGGATATAAATGAAAAGTGTGCCTCAAATCCTATTAGATATATTTCTTTCATGCTATTTAAAACAGAAAGTCACAAAAGCTTAAGTTTATTTAAAATATCCTCAGTCATTCTGGAGAAGTAGGTTTGTAAAGGAAAACCTGACTTGTGTACACAAAAGAAACCAATAGTTAATAAGACAAAATAGGAAAAGGGGGACCTTGAAATTTGATGGCTATAAAAGACTAGTACATGTAGATGAAATGAAGGACATTATATAAATGTTTCACAGTGGATATATTTGTGCATTTGCAGTGTACACACAGATGAATCAGTTGATAGCAAACCCTCAGGTAGTGGTATACACATTCAACACATTCCAAGTTCATGGTAATAGGCTAATTCTAAACCTGATCCAATGAGCACTTATAACAGTTAAGTGATGAATGTATTTTTGATGATACCAAGCTATTCATTATAGGGGAACAGGGTAAGAATAAAGCTAATTGTCCCTTGGTTGGGTGGTGCAGTGGATAGCACAAGTGCCTTTCACCATGGTGACTGGGTTAAATTCCCCCATCGGACATGAAGGTATGGGGTCACCTGCCCGACCACGTGGGTTTTCTCTGAGTACTCCAGTTTCCTCCCACAGTATGACTCCCTGTGCACTAACATCCGGGCCAACAAGAGTTGATGAGTATAAGTTATATAAACTTGTTTCAAAATTGTTTTAAAATAAATCGAGTTTATATTTACTATCCCTTGGGATGAATACAGCCTCGGTAATATGACAACTAAAAAACTTAATCTCATTTTGGTTGAAAACATTTCAAAAATTTGAAATACAAGAGATCAAATGGGCCTCTTTTACTCATCTCTCTTCTTTGACCTATAAAGTAGGTAAAGGTGAAATTTATATGAATAAGTGAAATATCATTACTCCGCAAATTATGGATCTCTGTCTAAAATAAATATATTTTGGACTGGATGAATCTTTGTTGAAAGGTTTTGACTTATCTTAATTATGTGACCTTCTAAGTTGGTCTAGGTCATTCATTCATATCCCAAACTTCCTAGCCATTTACAGTTCACATCAACAACATATTGGCCAAATATCATTACCCTAGATTTCTTGGTTATTCATAAAGGTTTGACCCATGTGGGTCAAGGTCAAGCATCATAGTCCTTCACTTCAGCATGCTACAGGCGATTAAGACGAATTCATTTAAAGGTTTTAAGGTATTTGACTCCTATGATATTGAAAGCGAGTCACTGGAGTCTACTAGATTGAACAAACAGGACATCCCTTGATGACTCTATAAACTTATTTTTGTGCATAGTGTGCTAAGTTGATTCTATATGAATTGCATACATGATGACAAATGTCTTACCATTATAATTTTGTCAGGGTATTTTGCTCCCAAAGTAGGGGATGTGCAATTAATAGAGCATCGGCTATTATTAGAATGGTATATTTTACATCAGAAAACTTAATTGCTGCTGAATGTATATGTAAAAAAACTGTTTCTGATATCATGTATCAGAGTTATCTTCCTTAGAACTATACTTTGAGCAATAACAATGTATATATTCTGTACCTGTTAAATGTGTCATGAATCGTTTTACTGAAACCAAGTTTAATAAAAAGAAGTTTTCCATGAAACTCTGAAGGAAAGGAGACATATACTGAAATTACTAATAAAATCTTACTATCATAAAAAATATGTTTTTTTAAATATTTTAAACATAATTGAAAAAACCTGACAGCAGTTAAAATATTCTCTTCATTTCAAGAAAGTTTTGAAACTTTCTGAAAATTTTAGTGATAAACTTATTAAAATACATTTAGTCATTTGAACAAAACGTTTTCCCTGTTTAGAAATTTATATGATATTGATGTTGTTACACCATCAATATTTTGTTGATTTTCTTTTCATTCATTTTTTAAAATTTGCAATTGAGATCAAGAACAATGTACAAGATGGAGACAAAATTTGCTCCAACTGCTTCAAACTATGTAAATTTCTATCTATACGAATAGATACCAATATTGCAAAATTATAAGGGGATTCATACATAATGAGATGACATTTCTGTGTAGAGGGAATTTGTGTGTACAGGGGATGTTTTTTCCTTGAAGGGCAATACATAAAGTTACCTTTCCTTCAAAGTATATCAGTGAGTTAGCACTATAAAGTCGCCATCAGATCCGTGCTATCTGTAAAATCATCTGTGTGTAAATTTCCAAACATTAAACAGAAAAATAATGCAATTTATAGTGCCATTTCAAAATTGTGTGTAGTATTATTATTTAATATTTGACAATATCGCTTTTATCATATATGTATTAAGTATTTAGCTATACTCGTCCGTATGTACAGGTAATGAAAATCAGCCTTCTGTGTTATAAAACATAATTTTTAGCTTGCATGGAAATAGCTAGTCCGAATTATTAGGCATGTTATGTATGTTAATCTTGTGCATAAAGAATAGATCTTTTGATCCATGTGCGACATGTGTGTGAAAGTGACGATTTGTTTCTAAAATATCAGTTTGAAGTGCGCTCCGGGCGCGGGGCGCATATTATAGAGGGCCGGAGTTCTGACGTTAATCGACGACAGACCGATATGAAAAAAGTCGATAAAACGTCATAANTACATGCCTCAAACAGCCAATACAATCACTAAAACCATATTTTTTCAAACTTACTCTGTTTTACTCTAGTTTTTTGATAGCCCCGCCTTCTAATGTCATGTGACTAAAAATCTCGCCGGGCTACGTCATACCGTTGGGAAATACAAGTCATGTGATTGTATTGGCTGTTTGAGGCATGTAATGTATGTTAATCTTGTGCATAAAGAATAGATCTTTCGATCCATGTGCGACACGTTTGTGAAAGTGACGATTTGTTTCTAAAATATCAGTTTGAAGTGCGCTCCGGGCGCGGGGCGCATATTATAGAGGGCCGGAGTTCTGACGTTAATCGACGACAGACCGATATGAAAAAAGTCGATAAAACGTCATAATTCGGACTAGGAAATAGCATGTGCAAATGCGAGTGAGATACTTGGCGGATATGATGTAATGTCTTGTAAACCTCATACCTGCCAAGTGACCCGATTTCGTCGGGTTACACCTGGGATTTTAGCCTTTCACCCGCTTTTATAACTTCACCCGCCGGGTTACGATTTTGACCCGGATTTCGTCAATTTCACCCGTTTTCACCCGGAATCTTTTCGTATATTAGAAGTTACTGAAGTCACTCGGAATTCTCTAGACTTTTCCATCCTCCTTCATAAGAAAGACGATCTATTTCCTGTTTACGTTTCTCACCAACAGGTAAGTTGTGAGTTGTTTATATACGTACTAGAACTGTTTTTACAAATGTTTATATAAAGAACGTTGTTACTGAACTTGCCGACAAGTTATTAGTCAGGTTTTTTACGAATAATTGAGTTGTATTTACGTAGAATAGATTGTATTTTGAAGGTAACGTTATGTCTTCTTGAAGGAAGAAGTTTTTATCAGGACTTGCAGGTTCTACTAGACGAATTGCCAAAAGAAAAGATAATTGTACACATATCAAATGTCATAGGAAAATGAGTTATAGTGTACAAAGTCCCGTGGTCGTGGACCAAACGCTGCATTCTGCACTCTAGGCAAAAACACGCACATGCATTTGATGATTTGTTTCTGTCAATCAAAATGATCCTTACAATAAGAGTTCAAACCCTACTCGTATAAAACTGATATTTTATATGAGAAGGGTGCAACTTCTTGTTGTCAGGACCATTTTCATTGACAGAAACAAAACGGTATTTTATATGAGCAGAATGTGACATCTTATTGTCGGGACCATTTCAATTGACATAAAAAATGCCTGTGAAAACACAGTATCATATATATTATTATGAATTAATTTTATAAGTTGTGTTGTTGACAAATCCCTTTATTTTTCAGCTTTGAATTTGGTATTGTGGATGAGGATCAGCTAGATCTGCTGGAAGAACAGTTCAATGAATGTAGAATGTAACTTTTACATCATTAAAATATTTAAGTTATAATTTAATATCTATTTTTCTTATATTTGTTGCGAAAAAATCCGTCGCGCACTATGACCCTCTTTTTAATTTTCAAAAGAGGGTCATAACCCTCTTTCAGTATGTCCAGGGTTGGCAGGTATGAAACCTGTTTGACCAGTATGTATTGTCTAGGTTTAGTATTCCTAGAGTTGAATGTTTGGCATTTTACCTGGTGCACTGGTCACTTCACACCGAGCAGCCAGAGCGAATACATCTATACTATGATAGTAGACAGTGTAGAGATTGAGTTATTCCGTCTTTGCGTATTGCAGAGTTATCTTCTCTTGGGAGCAGGTATTGACTGTTACGTCA